TAAGTTTTGTCCAAGAGTGTATCTTTCAGAGTTATAGTCTGAATCCCGATATACATGCTAAAAGGTACAACTTCCTTAAGTTTTGTCAATGAATGTATCTTTCAGAGTTATAGTCTGAATTCCGATATACATGCTAAAAGGTACAATATCCTTAAGTTTTGTCAAGAGTGTATCTTTCAGAGTTATTGTCTGAATCCCGATATACATGCTAAAAGGTACAACTTCCTTAAGTTTTGTCCAAGAGTGTATCTTTCAGAGTTATAGTCTGAATCCCGATATACATGCTAAAAGGTACAACTTCCTTAAGTTTTGTCAATGAATGTATCTTTCAGAGTTATAGTCTGAATTCCGATATACATGCTAAAAAGTAAAACTTCCTTAAGTTCTGTCCATAAGTGTATCTTTCAGAGTTATTATCTAAATCCAGATATACATGCTAAAAGATACAACTTCCTTAAGTTTTGTCCATGAGTGTATCTTTCAGAGTTATTGTCTGAATACCGATATACATGCTAAAAAGTACAATTTCCTTAAGTTTTGTCCATGAGTGTATTTTTCAGAGTTATTGTCTGAATCCCGATATACATGCTAAAAGGTACAACTTCCTTAAGTTTTGTCCATGAGTGTATCTTTCAGAGTTATTGTCTGAATACCGATATACATGCTAAAAAGTACAATATCCTTAAGTTTTGTCCATGAGTGTATCTTTCAGAGTTATTGTCTGAATCCTGAAATAGATGTTAAAAGGTACAACTTCCTTAAGTTTTGTCCATGAGTGTATCTTTCAGAGTTATTGCCTGAATCCCTATATAAATGCTAAAAGGTGCAATATCCTTAAGTTTTGTCCATGAGTGTATCTTTCAGAGTTATTGTCTGAATCCCGATATACATGCTAAAAGGTACAACTTCCTTAAGCTTTGTCCATGAGTGTATCTTTCAGAGTTATTGTCTGAATCCCGATATACATGCTAAAAGGTACAACTTCCTTAAGCTTTGTCCATGAGGGTATCTTTCAGAATTATTGCCTGAATCCCGATATACATGCTAAAAAGTACAATATCCTTAAGTTTTGTCCATGAGTGTATCTTTCAGAGTTATTGTCTGAATCCCGATATACATGCTAAAAAGTACAATATCCTTAAGTTTTGTCCATGAGTGTATCTTTCAGAGTTATTGTCTGAATCCTGAAATAGATGTTAAAAGGTACAACTTCCTTAAGTTTTGTCCATGAGTGTATCTTTCAGAGTTATTGCCTGAATCCCTATATAAATGCTAAAAGGTGCAATATCCTTAAGTTTTGTCCATGAGTGTATCTTTCAGAGTTATTGTCTGAATCCCGATATACATGCTAAAAGGTACAACTTCCTTAAGCTTTGTCCATGAGTGTATCTTTCAGAGTTATTGTCTGAATCCCGATATACATGCTAAAAGGTACAACTTCCTTAAGCTTTGTCCATGAGGGTATCTTTCAGAATTATTGCCTGAATCCCGATATACATGCTAAAAAGTACAATATCCTTAAGTTTTGTCCATGAGTGTATCTTTCAGAGTTATTGTCTGAATCCCGATATACATGCTAAAAAGTACAATATCCTTAAGTTTTGTCCATGAGTGTATCTTTCAGAGTTATTGTCTGAATCCCGATATACATGCTAAAAAGTACAATATCCTTAAGTTTTGTCCATGAGTGTATCTTTCAGAGTTATTGTCTGAATCCCGATATACATGCTAAAAGTACAATATCCTTAAGTTTTGTCCATGAGTGTATCTTTCAGAGTTATTGTCTGAATCCCGATATACATGCTAAAAAGTACAATATCCTTAAGTTTTGTCCATGAGTGTATCTTTCAGAGTTATTGTCTGAATCCCGATATACATGCTAAAAAGTACAATATCCTTAAGTTTTGTCCATGAGTGTATCTTTCAGAGTTATTGTCTGAATCCCGATATACATGCTAAAAAGTACAATATCCTTAAGTTTTGTCCATGAGTGTATCTTTCAGAGTTATTGTCTGAATCCCGATATACATGCTAAAAAGTACAATATCCTTAAGTTTTGTCCATGAGTGTATCTTTCAGAGTTATTGTCTGAATCCCGATATACATGCTAAAAAGTACAATATCCTTAAGTTTTGTCCATGAGTGTATCTTTCAGAGTTATTGTCTGAATCCCGATATACATGCTAAAAAGTACAATATCCTTAAGTTTTGTCCATGAGTGTATCTTTCAGAGTTATTGTCTGAATTCCGATATACATGCTGAAAGGTACAATATCCTTAAGTTTTTTCCATTAGTGTATCTTTCAGAGTTATTGTCTGAATTCCGATATACATGCTAAAAAGTACAATATCCTTAAGTTTTGTCAATGAATGTATCTTTCAGAGTTATTGTCTGAATCCCGATATACATGCTAAAAAGTACAATATCCTTAAGTTTTGTCCATGAGTGTATCTTTCAGAGTTATTGCCTGAATCTCGATATACATGCTAAAAAGTACAACTTCCTTAAGTTTTGTCCATGAGTGTATCTTTCAGAGTTATTGCCTGAATCCCGATATACATGCTAAAAAGTACAACTTCCTTAAGTTTTGTCCATGAGTGTATCTTTCAGAGTTATTGCCTGAATCCCGATATACATGCTAAAAAGTACAACTTCCTTAAGTTTTGTCCATGAGTGTATCTTTCAGAGTTATTGCCTGAATCCCGATATACATGCTAAAAAGTACAACTTCCTTAAGTTTTGTCCATGAGTGTATCTTTCAGAGTTATTATCTGAATCCCGATATACATGCTAAAAGGAACAACTTCCTTGAGTTTTGACAATGAGTGTATCTTTCAGAGTTATTGTCTGAATCCCGATATACATGCTAAAAGGAACAATATCCTTAAGTTTTGTTAATGTATGTACATCAAGTGTTGGAATAGAAGCATCCATAAGATTCTTCTTATCAAAATCCTCTTCACATTGAAAACCTTTAGAGTGACCTACGTACTTTCATGACAGCAGAGCTAGCTATGGAGAGGTTCCTCTCAAGATCAGAACTACGCCCGAGGTGAACAAATTAATTTCTTTCTGACAGGTCTCCCTGAGCACGAGTCCTGCAATTTCCGCCACTGAACCCAGCACAACGTTAGTGCTAAGATAAATTTCATTACCTAAGAACTTCAAATGTCCAAGTGTTTGTGAAATACTTGATCAAAATGTCAAAAGTTTCACTTGAGGCAAAATATAATTTCAAATTAGTTTAAACGTCTTTAATATACCTGTGTTTGTAAAATAATTTCACTTCTTTACATCCGAGTACCAAAAATGGAATTTTCTTGCAAAAATATTTAATTTTCTTCACAATTTTGAATCTCCCCCTTATAAGATGGGTTTTAGCCTGTTAAGAGGCACTCCTTTATTTTAGGAGAGCGTAGCAACTGGAAATAACTGTTGAAATTATTATAATCTAAAAATTACATATATATTAATTTTTATTTAATTAAATAATAAACATAATTAATATATGAATTGAAAATAAAAAACAGAGTAAAAATGTTTATAATAGGAGTGATATTTAATATGTTCTGGCTTTCTATAGATATTTGTATGGCTTTAAAAAATGACATAATATACATGTGTTAAAAAAATAAAACTTTTCTTTTTAACCAACAGTGGTGAATGAATTCTGAATGCTGGATCCAAGATAACATTTACAGAGCGTTTCTGCAAAATATGATAAAACGGATATGTCCTTTTATTGTTTCTGAAATATGACTTTTTCTATTATTTTTTAATCAACCTCAAAGACAACTTTAGGATTTCGTTAAACTACAGCCTGAAGTATGCTTATGAATGCCCCCAGCTCGAAATACATACGAGATTGTTTTTTTTTTTTTTTATTAATCAGAGATGCCCGAAATCTCGAGTATACGTTTAATAAAGATAAAGAAACCCATCTCCAGAAACATATGGAATTTGTTTGATCGATATCCAGGAGATTTAAATCTATTGATAGATAAATTTATTTATTTTATTAATCAAGAAGTTTTTGGATGATTATCGGTAACAAAAAAAAAACAATATATTGGATCAAAATATCATTTATTTTACCAATATTTCAGTTGGCTGAACGCCAACCTTTATCAAGGTATTATAACATTTTAAAGTGCTGAGTTTGTTGTTGACACACTTTAAAATGTTATAATACCTTGATAAAGGTTGGCGTTCAGCCAACTGAAATATTGGTAAAATAAATGTTTTTTGATTCAATATATGCCTTTTTAATTAAAGATTTATTTATGGATTGCTCTATTAAAAAAAAAATAATGTTAAATGAATTTCTATTATGATATATGGTTATAAGCTACTAGAAATGTTTTTTTCGCATGATCTTAAGGGCTACTCGTTCATTATATACATGCTTGCATAGAATTTAAAATACTTTATCACACATCACACACAACAAAGGATTTACTTGGAATGTAGGTATATATGTCTCCGAGATCTGGAGTCTTAGATAGACAGAAATGGCGAAGCTGCAGTTGATGATTATTCAAGATGCAATGTGTTTGAAGTTTATTTGTTAATTTTGTAATTATTCTTATTTTTTAATTCATAGAAGCATTTTTCTGGCAGACATATTCAATTTTTTTATCATCATCATTTTGGATTTTTTTTTTCTTAATGTTGTGTTAGTTATCAAATAATTTTGCGATTGTAGTTTTTATTTGTTTTTTTTTGTGTACCTTTTTAAGCAACAAAATATATAGAAGTAAGGTGTAATATTCAATTCAAACATATGGAACCAACATCGATTCATTTTTAAAACAAAGCAAAATCATAAGCTTATACAACTTTCACTTTTCCATACACTATGTTTGTGCCGAAAGTTGGAATGACAGACTGTAGACAAGGATGATGTCCTTTAACAAGAATGTTTGGATATCCTGTACAACACTCGGATTGTATAAAAGGTATTATGTAAAAAGTGAAATCATTTTTTTGTGTGTGTGTCTCCGGCATGGTCTTGTTGTTAGGATATCTGACTCTCTCCCAGAAGGCCCTGGTTCGATTCCCGTTCTCGGATTTTTTTTTTGGGGGGAGGGTCGATGGAAGGATGGTCTAAACCGTTAGGTTTCGACCGCTACGACCCGGATTCGATTCCCGCATTTTGGGCACTTTTTTTCTGTTTAAAAACAAAAAAAAATGCTCCAATGGCCCCCGATCCTTGTAAAAGTCTAACCCCACCAGCAAGTGCAAAGAACCAAACGGGGCTCTGGCACATTTATAAGTGCAAAGACGAACTGTTTTTCACATGTGTAGACATGTGGTGCACTTACAGTAAAAGCAGTCTCTAACTACCCACCATGATTATCTTGGCCTGTACCACGTGTACTAGAGATAAACAAAACAAAAAAACCTCTATACTGTCCTTACTATGATGAAAAGCATTTGCGGAAGATCATTGCTCGATGGAAATATTTAAATGTAATTCTACTGTCCTAAATTCTTATGTCCATAGTTTTCTTGATTACCATTTCTAAGATTCCACCCTTCATTGCAGGAAATATAAAAGTAGAATGATCCAATACAGTATTAGAGCTCTAAGAAGCTGTCTTGTAGATTAAATTGGCAAAACCACTGATGAGCCAAGCTTCCCAATATTTTTTCATCGCAGTAAAGACAGTAGTGGGTATAAAAAATTCTTGCTTCAATGCTTTTACACTTCTAATATACGTATTTTATCAATGTTTTGAAAGGTTTCTTGTATTTAATATATTGTATCGTAGAAAATCAGGAAAGACAAACTTCAGGATGACACAGCAATTTATTTAAGGCAAGAACAAAATCAACATTTATAAGATACAAGTTAAGCAATGAAGGAAGTTTTCAGAGAGAGTAACAAAATATAAATAATATAAATATAAAAAATTAATAATCTCTACATAGAGTCTAATAAATACTTTGCAACAATATTTTATAACTCTCTAAGAAATTAACTAAGTGAAATGAGAAAAAAACATAAAATAAAATTTCAAATGTTTGACTCAAAATTTTGGTTTGTTCATTTAGGCTTTTCTATAAATCGAATAATATATAATTCATATATGACTTATATTTATATATTTAAATTGTTTTAAAACTCTATTAATTATCTTTTTTAAATCCTAAATATAAATAAAGATGAAATTAGATAAATACCGTTGCTTTTTAAATAGAAACTCTATCAAGGGATATAATGTAAAAATCAAATTATATGAAAACACTTTAAAATGTTACTTTTAAAAGTCGCTGTGTGTACCGATGGTGTAACAAAACTCCCTAGAACAACAAAAAAAAAGAATCATTGAGAGCATAATTAAATTCCAGACGAAAAGTTTTAAAAGCGAGTTATGTAATCGTCTGCATTTATTTTTTTCCCTCCAAAATTTTAAAGTGTTCAATCCAAACGACAATTTAATTTGTGCATTAAACCTTTCTTGGCGGGAAATAAAACCAACTTTAGTCGGCTGTATATATATATTTTATAATGCAGACGCCCATATTTCACTGCTAACAGACGAGGTATAAAAATTCCATTGTACTCCACAGAGTTGGCCAAGAATACAGATTAGGGTTGAGCTGATTAAAATACAAAGAATAATACCCCCTCAGCTGACCCTGAATTATTTCCCTGGGCACAATCTATGGCCCAAATGGCTTAGCTTCAGCTTAATGATTTATAAATCATAGAATAAAAGAAGGTTATTGACTCGTGAGCGCTCCCCACGTAAGGAATTAAACTCACGGGGAGTTATTAATCCTTCCTTATTAGTGCCACAATTCTTTTATCGTCTGCTTTTTTTTTTTTGCATACCAAACATATTGTCATCTTCAATTTAAAATATATATTTCTCTCATCATAAAAATGAATATTTTAAAAAGACGTAAAGAATTTACCATGGTATAACAATTAAAAAGAGAAAAATAATTCTAGATATTCTAATAAATATTGTGTCACGTTAGAAAAATGATTGCCAGAATAGGTAAGTAGAAAAATACTTTTATTCTTCGATAACATCAACGGTCTACCCTAAAGTTAAAGATACATGAATTCATATAGCAATCACAATCCAGAACAATATATGCAAATAGAGGTAAAATATGTAAATTAACATAAATACAAACTACATTACAATATAGTTAAGAAAATTTTGAATGTTGATACAAGATGTTGATGGACCATTCTGTCTTGATTTTTTATCCTCAAGTCAACGTATGAACAGCGACCTTTATTTTGACATTCTTGTAAATAAGCTAAAGCCCGGTATAAGAAACAAAAGAAGAGGGAAGCTTAGTAAAGGTGTTCTCTTCCTTCATGATAATGCAAGGCCGCATACATCATGTAAAACTGTATCTACAATCATTAAATTAGGTTTTGAAGTTTTAGAACACACATCCTGCATATAGTCCAGACCTAGCCCCCTCTGACTATTTCCTTTTTGGACTACTAAAGAAGGAGTTAAAGAGAAAGCGATTTGACTCGGATGAAGATGTCCAGAAAGTGGTGCAAGATTTTTTCACACGCTTCCTAAGAGTGCCTATAAAGAGGGTATTTACAAGTTTCCAGAATGATGGAGACGATGTATAGAAAGCCAAGGTGATTATTTTGAATAAATCAAGTCCTAAATTTTAATATCGTTCTTATTTTTTTGAATAAATTATAATTCACCTTATCTATTGATCCCACCTTGTATTATTCCTACGGTATAACATATGTTTCAATTTTTATATGAAAAATAGACACTTCGGCCAGTTAGAGTTTTTTTATTTTTCTCAACGTTTCGACAAAAATATTTTGTCTTCGTCAGGAGAAATAAATAAAAATATAACATTTGGCAAGGCGTTAAACAATGCTTTATTTTTATATACTTCTCCTGGCGAAAACAAAAGATTTTTGTCTGAACGTTGAGAAAAAAAAAACTCTAACTGGCCGAAGTGTCTATTTTTCATATAAATATGAATGCTGGCCAGGCAGCCTCTATCTTCAGGATATGTTTCAATGTTGGACAAATATCAGGGAACAAGTTAAATAAATGTTTATTTTTGCTCCACTAGATGGCGCTCTGCCATCTAGAGATGCTCATGTGAGCCTTTTTTTTTTGTTTATCCCTAGTACACCTGGTACAGGTCATGATAATCATGGTGGGTAGAAGTTGGCGACTGCTTTTATTGTAAGTGCACCACATATCTACACCACATGTGAAAACCAGTTCGACTTTGCACTTACAAATGTGCCAGAGCCCCGTTTGGTTACTTGCACTCGCTGGTGGGGTTGGACTTTTGCAAGAATCTGGTGCCATTGGAGCATTCTTTTTTTAAACATTAAAAAAGTGTCCAATGCGGGAATCGAACCCGGGTCGTAGCGGTCAAAAACCAACGGTTTAGACCATCCTTCCTCATGTGAGCCTGGTCAGGTTATGCCTTTTTTATTTTTAATATCAACACCTGACCTTTTTTATATTTTTATATATATTTTTTTAAAATTGTTTTTTCACATGTTTCAATGTGTGCAAAAAATAATTTTAAAAT